AGCAGGTTTCATATTTCAGTTTGGTGCCATCTAAGGTGGCACTGGCCTTGCCCCCCCCCCGCCCCCTTCAAAATCTTGCCTCCTTCACCCCTCACGTCCCCCGTGGCAGTGATACTGGTACTCCAACCAAAGCATCTCTGAACACTACCAACACACTCCTGAGCAGAGGCTCTGGTAAAGAGGACAAGCCAGGGCAGGGCAGGGCACCAGAGTCTGCTCTACCGAGCAGCCCGCCCTTGCAGCCTGGAGGCCAGAGCTGAGTGTAGCCCTTATTATTCCAGGCAGGTCCAGCTGCAGCGCTGAGCCAGCCTGATTCCCTAGCCCCTGGCCCCTCCTGTTTCCTTTCTCCTGTTTCCATTCATACTTCATTTCCCATGCATCATGCCAGATTCAATAAGAGCCTTTGGCAGGGGAGATTCAGGGGGTGGCTTCCTTTCAGATCCTCAAAAGACCCTACTCGATCCCCTACACGGGAGCTACATTTTCTCCTCGTAGTCTGGGGATGGATCTCTTCCTTAGTGCCGGGAAGGTTTCCAAGAGTAAGGGATTCCTTGGACAAAATTGGAGGAAACAGAGTGTCTGACTATTGTTTATGGTTTGATGGCTTAGGGCATGAGGTTCTTGTCTCTGGCAGCTCCCTGTTTTGGAACTTGCTAGCAAACCTCACTGCATTCTGAGTTATCAGGAAGTGCGGGGTGGTTTGCTTCTCAGGTGTGTATGGGAGTGGGAGAGGGTCTGTTTCAGCCCCTGTAATGTAATGTAGTTGATTCTGAACGAGAAAGAACAGGAGGAAGAGTCGACATTTCCTCTAAGTGGAAATAAGTATTTTCTGTACTCCAGAGATGCTGCATTTTAAAGGACCTCTTAGATGTTTGTCAGAAAACGAGGAGGTCCAGACTCGAGGGAAGGAGTAAAGTGTCACAAAAAGAGCACCAGACAGCCAAGGACGCTGACTTGCCAAAGACTAAATCACTTATCTCGTTAGACCTCAGTGTCTTCATCTGTAAGGCGGGGGGGGGGGGTCCCAGCTGTCCTCCCTAGAACTGATATATGACAGTGCCTTCACACGTCATTACAAATTGTAGAACAGACGTCACAGGACTTTAGGAAGAAAAACATTGAAGTGATTCAGCGATCATGTAAAGTAAGTAATACAATTTCTTGCCCCTGAAGGAAGCGATGAGAGGGTTTGCTCTTCCATCCTATCGTCCTTTAAGCTGGCACAATGCTAGAAAGTGGGAGTGAGAACGTACCTTACCCAGAATGCCCCGAGCTGAATGACTAATCCTGACCTGACAAGAGGTGGTACCTCCCAGGCGTCTGAGCGTTGCGTCTGAAGCTGAGGCTGAGGCTGAGGCGGTGTGAGCGCTTACAGATTATTCTTTGCCAGTTGCCTAATAAGGATAGGGGCTAGGCAGGCTTGGCAATTGCAGAGAGCTCACATTCTAAGAGCTCAGAGAGAAGTATGGGTGCCTGCAAAGCCTCCGACTTCCAGAAGAACTTTCATAGCGATCCCACCTTAACCTGGGCCCCCAGCTGACACAGCCCACTTTGACTCTGTACCAGCCCTTCAAGTGCTTGCCCTCCTCTGTATGTGTCTCTAGCACAAATCTGAAGCAGACAAACTTCATTCTTTTCCACACGCCCCATATGTTCTAATCATAAGTGTTCTTTTTGATTGCCCAAGTGAGTGAAAAATTTCTCCTCTTTGATATCTTGAGGAGAGGTTCAAAGTGAGGAATTCTGACTCAGACTGTCCCTTCTTCTTTTCTAGAAATCTAAGTTTGCCTAGCCTAGTGGTATCGCCAACGGTTATAACCTAGCGAATGGTTATTGCTGATGAAGATGCCTTGGAATTTTCCATTCTTTTCGAGGGTTGGGAGTTCCCTCCGGCAAGGAAAGATGGAGGAGCACATGGAGCTTGTTGGCCTTCTGCTTAAAGGGCTAGATACCAAAAGTTCATTAAGATCACAGTAAGCCTTCTCCCATCACTTGAGAGCAGACATGCTGGACGCTGGGCACCTTTCATCTAAGACTTCCAAGCACTATTTCTGTCTCTCATTCCTGTCCTTCGTCACTTTCTGAGGATGTGTGAAGAGGTGGGGCTGATTCCGCCCCCCCCCCCAGGTAAAGGCGGGAGGACCTGAGCCCTAAGAAGGACAAGTGACTTGCCCAGAGGGTACCTGGGAAGATGGTAAATCTGGTTCTGAATCTGCTAGCAATTATTCAACAACAACAACAAATTAACTGGCTGCCCCCTGTATGCGGGCTCTCTTCAGGCCCTGGGGATAAAGCAGTGAACAAGACAAGTGCAGACCTTTGCCCTCGAGGAACATAGAAAAAAAAAATAAAGAGAAAAAAAGTAAAATCTGATTTCCAGTTTAGCACTCCATCAGCACGGTTCTCAACATCCTCTTGAAAGGTTAAGGAGTTCTACTTAGGGTCAAGATGGGCTCCTTACTGCTATAGCCCTTCCCACTGCCTCCAGGCTTAGGCGGGAAGCTGAACTGGAGGGACAGTCTGCGGTACCCCACCTATCCCTGTGCCAGTTGGGGTGAAGGGAGTTTGATGCGCTGCCTCAGGTTCCTTCCAGACCTCGGCTCCCCAGGCTCCTGGATGACATCAGAAAAGAAAGGCAGAAAAAAGAAAGGCAGTATGATATTTGAAAAGCAGTAGCAACAACAGAACAAAACCCTGCTTGCTTAACCCTCTGTAGGTCAGAGTCACTCTAAAAATCTCTGGTAAAAGGAGAAGGCAGGGGGTGCACTAGGCGGGAGGCGGGAGTGTAAACCTACTCCGTCCCCTGGGACCTGCCCGAAAGAGGATTGATGGGAATCAGCAGGAACTTTGGCCACATGTGACTTTTGGAAAAGTAACTGGTAAAAGAGTCAAGCCTTTATCTGATGGTTCTTGTGCTTCTTTGTTCACCTTTTAGAAGGGAGGCCATCATCTATGTATTAGAGAGGGGCTGTCCAGAGCCCCTTGCCACCCCCTGGTAACTGAACTCAAGTCAATGGGGACTGTTTAACCAGGGCTGGGCCCCCAGGTTCTGGCGCTATATTCAGAAAGAGCCCTGAGGGGCGCCTGGGTGGCTCAGTCGTTAAGCGTCTGCCTTCGGCTCAGGTCATGATCCCAGGGTCCTGGGATCGAGCCCCGCATCGGGCTCCCTGCTCGGCGGGAGGCCTGCTTCTCCCTCTCCCACTCCCCCTGCTTGTGTTCCCTCTCTCGCTGTGTCTCTCTCTGTCAAATAAATAAATAAAATCTTAAAAAAAAAAAAAAAAGAGCCCCTGAGGAACGCCTGGGTGGCTCAGTCGGGTAAGCATCTGCCTTCAGCTCAGGTCATGATCCCAGGGTCCTGGGATCGAATCCTGCTTTGGGCTCCTTGTTTGGTGGGGAGCCTGTCTCTTCCTCTTCCTGCTTCTCCCTCTGCCTGCCATTCCCCTGCTTGCACTCTCGCTCTCTCTCTGACAAATAAATGGATAAAATCTTAAAAAAAAAGAAAATGCCCCTTCACATTTTTTGAGCCCCTTCACAATTAAATGATCTGGGGGCGCCTGGGTGGCTCAGTCGGTCAGGCGTCTGACTCTTGATTTTGGCTCGGGTCATGGTCTCAGGGTCATAGGATCAAGCTCCATATCAGGCTCCGTGCTGAGTGCAGGGTCTGCTTAAGATTTTCTCTCCCTCTGCTCCTCCCCCCCCAAATAAATAAATACACAAGCAAACAAATAAGTGGCTGATGTGTGACAGTGGGTCCCACACGACAGGCAGGAGCTGCTCTCTAAAGCTAAACAGGACAAGGATGAGCCTCTCCACCTTCAGCCCTTTCTATCCTCACCTGCACATAGCTCTGCCCCTCCCCCAGTCAGAGGGGGAGCACCTGCCTCTCTGAGGAGAGAAATGCTGATCTGAGACCCTCTGGTGCTCACTCCCACAGGCTAACGCTGCTCTCCTGCTGACCTTGCCGTGGCCCTGGGCTCTATCCGAATTGATTGCTGTCTTTTTTTTTTTTTAAGATTTTATTTATTTATTTGACAGAGAGAGACACAGCGAGAGAGGGAACACAGCAGCGGGAGTGGGAGAGGGAGAAGCAGGCTTCCCGCGGAGCAGGGAGCCTGATGCGGGGCTCGATCCCAGGACCCTGGGATCATGACCTGAGCCAAAGGCAGACGCCCAACGACTGAGCCACCCAGGCGCCCCGAATTGATTGCTGTCTTATCCCTGCCAGTCCAGTAACTTTAACACTCAGATTTAACTTTAAACTCTCTTCCTTCTCCTCAAAGGTCCTTCTGTCCCCTTTATGTAAAAAGGCTCCACCCTGTATGGCCGGCTGCCAGAGCATTTTACTCTCCCCTTTTGGAGAGAGGGAAAGCTTTTTGGAGGGGTGGGCTTAGCTCCAAGACCTGAACCTAGTACCTGACCTGCTGACAGCAGCAGCGGGCTGCAGGATTTCCGTCTGGCTGGAGGCTGAGTATTCTGAGGGCCCCCGAGGATGCGGGCATCGTCTATCAGGTTGGCCTCCTGGCATGTAACTGTATGTGTTGGGTGCAGGATGCGCGGGTGGCAGCCTGGCAGACCACCCTCTAGATCACTCCGGTCTGGACTCCTCTTCTGACCCCTTCTCCCCAGTTAGAGGCAAGGTCAGACGAAAGGATTTCGTGGTGGGCCCCTCAAATGAATAGACAAGGAGAGCATGAGAGCCGTTAGTTTCTGAAGCTGCCGGATCCGTGTCCCTTGGCTTGAGAGCGGTGTGTTGGCAGGACGGGGGTGTATCTGAAATTACTTCTCTACACGGAAGTTTGCAGGCTGCTGGGGCCTCCTAGGGAGGAACGGGCCCCTCCTGAGTCCATCCGCTCAGCTCAGGCCTCGGCGATCGGTTTGGCTCAGGCATCAACTGTCACCGAAACCCTTGTGCTAGAGTGAGTCCCTCTTGCCCTCGCAGATGCCGGATCCCCGCGGCCACTCTAATTGTTTTTGTCTGTCTCTTTGAATCTTTATTCCAGAGATCCAGTTGTCAGCGGCATCCAGGGAACCCTCCTCTTCCTCCTCCTTCTCCGGCTGCCTCTCTACCATCGCAGTTGCTGGTCGTTGCTAAGGTGGCCTCCATGGTAACATGCACATCCTGTTTACACCGCCATCCGGGCAAGTTGGTCTAAGCTAGGAACCTACCTGCCCTGGACAAGCACTGCCATCACTACCTGGGGACACCAATCACCGTGACACGTGGTCCAGCTTCCACTCAGTTCCCCCATCCTCTTCCTCCTCTCGCTGCCAAGCTTCATACACAAAAAAGGATCTGGGCTAGAGGCTGCTCCTCCAAAGCCTATTGCACAGGATCTAGTCCATCTCTTTCCCAACTGGGCTCCCAGAGAAGCAAGAAGTAAGAAGTGAGGCAGAAAGCCAGGTGTCCCTGATCAGTCGAAGGGGAACTCCACATTTTCTCTGGTCAAGGGGCTTGGTAACAGCAGACAAAATGACGAACCCAACAGAACATGCCTTGCCGGCCAACTCGATGGTCGAGAGCCATGAAGGGGACTTTGGCTGCTCAGTAATGGACCTGAGGAAGCTCATGGAGCTGCGTTCCTCTGATGGAATCAACCAGATCAATGTCCACTATGGAGGTGTAATGAATCTCTGCAGAAGACTGAAAACCGACCCTGTGGAAGGTAAAGGCCGGACCAGGGGCGGGGAACCAGAGCAAGGTGGCCAGTGTTCAAAACTGTTGCTTCCCTAGCTCCTGGAGAAGGCAGTGGGAGACCTCCCTGGTATATCTGTGTCTTTTGAGAAAAATGTGGTCTCTGACGCACTGAAAGGGGGTTGAGGCCATGGAGAGCCGTTTCATTCCTGGAGATGGTGTTCTCTGAAGATCACGCTTTCTTCCTTTTTCTGTTATCAGCATGCAGAAAGGAGACAGTTTACCTCTGTTTCACAAATGTATATGTTAGAGATGCTTTTATCAGCAAACAGTCAAGTCTCTGATTCAGGATCGGTCTCTGATTACAAAAGAATTTAAGATACAGTTCTGCTCCACACTGATCTTACAGTGTAACTGGGGAGAAGGGGCACCAAAAGAAATGAGTGAGTCCGTCTACCCAATGTGGCACTTCTCTATTGTGGACAGTTAGAAATAGGGTGCAAAATCATTGGGTATATAGAAGTACCTACCATATCTTTGGATTTTCACTCTGTTTCATGTCAGGGAATTATTGATGACTTTCAAACCCTCCTGGGTGTGCTTTTAATATAGTTCTTCTTAATCTAGTCTTAAAAGAGAAAGGGAAACCTGGCTTCATGCTTGCCTGGCTCAGTTCAGTTGCCCAATAAGCCCTGGTAATATAAAATTTTGCCTCCTCAAAATGGAGACAGAACCAAAGGAACCTTGTTTTCTCACATACATGGTTATAGCATCTCTGTTACAAGTTCTTACTTGGTCCTGTCAGTGAGGCAGGACACGGCTGAGTAGCATAAGATAAAGCAAAGATCTTGCCCTTTAGATGCCTTTAGCCTCTTGAGATGTGCTATTTCTGAGCCTTTCTCGGAGGCTACATCACGTTTCTTGCCAAGTCTAAGAAGTTTTGACCCCTGGCCAATGTTGTAAGTTTGTGACTTGGAGTCCGGACTCTTCAGGATTAAAGAGAGAGAGAGAGAGAGAGAGAGAGAGGTTTCTGTCTAGATATCTGTACATTGCCCATGTCTTACTTGCAATCAGAGAGAGCTGCCCTCCATGTTCTTTCCTTCTAGAATTCAGTTTCCTGTCTCTCATGAGTTCAAACTCTACCTCCACCATTTTCTAGTTTACAGTTACTAGTTCGTATCACTGAACAGTTTACTTAGCCTCTCTGAGTCTCTTTCTTCTTTGAAAATGATATTAACGCCTAGCCCGTACAGTTATCAGGATTAATACATGGGGACTACATATACATAATGACGTGCGTACAGTGCTCAAGCTTATAATGGGTGTTCAATAAATGGGTTGTCCCAGATTAAAATGGAGCCCTTGTGTCTGACGCCATTTGCCAGAGGGTGAGTGCCCATGGAGTGCAATGTATTATTTTCTCAGGAAAGGCTACCCTAGCCAGCGGCCGTTTCCTCCTTTCACCTCTTGATGTCAAAGAGATCTGGTTAGGATGGCCATGCTTAACTAGCTGCTTTCTCAAGGCTCACTCTTTGCCTTCTGGCTAGAATCTAATGACTGCCCTTTGGGCACTGCTTACTTCTTGTCAGCTAGATTTCTTTATTCTGCCACTTTTGTAGTAGCGTCGGCCTTAAATAGAGGCTGTTTTGTATCATATGTTCACTAAGAAATGCAGGAGCTTAGAAGCACCCGTTAGAATTTAGGCGGGACCTTTCTTGTTCCCTTCCTACACCCTTCTTGATCCCTGTGGTCAGCTGTTTCTCTCACAAAGTGAAACTCAGGAGTCCAAATCAGTTGGAACCTGGGACGCTCCGAAGAGCAGGATCCAGACTTCCCTCCCCATTTTCCAACTCCTTTCTCATAGCTACTGCTATTCGCTTCCTGGTTCCCAGAGTGCTTCCTTTCCCAAAGGCCATCCTGTATTCCACTCTAATCTCGACCTCACACAGCAAATGTTATCGATGTAGTCAGTGCCCTTAGATTCTTTCCCATTCCTAGTTTCAGACCTATAGTTGAAAGCCACACCTTCTGATGGCAGGTGCTTCGGACCCTGGCCATGCCTGAACCCCAGGACCCCTACCCTGGGCGCCGTTGTCTGCTGCCGTTCCCCAGCTTCCTTAGATCACAAATCTGTATCCTGGTTTGTTTCAGTGTAGGACTTATCAGAGGGCTGCTGCTAGAGCTGGGGACGCAGGGTGTCTGAAAACAATGTTTCCCTGAGTAATATTGACTCCCCAGTGCCAACAGTGACCTCCTCGTGTGTGAGAGGAGTAAAGGCATCAAAAAGGAGACACAGGGGAGCGATGACACAGAAGTCTCTCCCCCGACAAAGGTGATGCGGAGCTGTTTAGTGGGGCCATCCGAGCAAAGAGCATCACTATCCAGGTGCCTTGATGAGCTGATGCTATAAAAAGCCGGCCTATTCACAGAAGACCACACTGAGGTGCCTGACAGCCTAGCACAGTTCTATCACCCGCGGGAGGCCTCTGCAGACTAAGAATAAGAATAAAGAAATTCACCTGGTGCTTGAATTCTGCCCGTTGGAAACCTGGTGAAGACTGGGGAGATGGGTTCCTGGAGTATGACCCTTCCCTTTTATCTTCTGTTGGGTTGACAGCATCTTTTGTGTAGATTTGACAGATTGTTTCAAACCATAGCTAGTAAGGGGCCTTATGGGAACTTGGAGTTTATAATATTTATGACGCTAACATGGCTTTGTTATTCGAGATTTACACAATCGATTGTAGAGGCAAGTGGGATTTAATTCTACTCGTCCCCCATGCCCCCGCCCAGACCCAAAGACTTAAATGACTCACCTAAGTTCTTCGGACTGGGTAGGACGTGATAGAATACATCATGTTTTCTGACTGAGTCCGTGAATGCTCATCGGCCTCTTAGGCTAGAGCGACAGCACAGAGAATCTCAGAAGCAGAGATCATTTAAAAGTTTGTTTTATCTTTCAGTGCCTGATAAAATGTCTTAATTGGGACCCAGCGCTAATATTGATGCAATAGTGGCTTATGTTCCCTGCGTATGCGTGGCTAGTTGGAGCAAGAGCGGTTGCCCCAGGGGCCGAGAGCTGGTTAGACTCGAGGTTGCTGGGAGGCGCTCGGCTTCCACGGCATCCGGCATCCGGTAACCACCAGACGCCAGGCTGAGTGTGTGTGCAAAAAAGGGAAGGAAAGTTACAGGGAAACCAGAAGGGGTGGGGGAGACATGTAAGAGGATACAAGCTTGCACCTCGGCGACTAAAGGCCTCGGCCTTCATGGCTCTGTCAAACAAAGGCAGAGAGGCAGGGCTGAGGCTGTAGGTCCTGAGTGAGTGAGCTGCATGGCCTCGGCTTTTATGTAGGGAAAATCTGAGCATTCCGCACCAATGGAATCTTCTTAGTTGGCCTGCTTCTTTCTTCATTCCAATGTCTTCATCATCCTCCCTCTATTTTCTCTTCTTTCCTTACCCCATTACCCCCTCCGCAACCAATCTCTCCAACCCCCAGAGAGCAGAGTGTCTGGATGACACCCCCTAGAGGACAGGCTTTTACCTTCCCACTGGCTTTCCGGGCTTTGGTGGGTGGGAGAGAGCTTTGTGACTTTGGAACGGGAATCTCCGTGGCTTAGGGGGAAGGAAAAAAAAAGGTATTTTCCTAAGTTTCAGTCTCTCTTTGCGTGTAGGAAGAAGAGACAATCCTAATGAGATTCTTTGGATCTAGATAGAAGAGTTGTGTGAATTCTTCTTTCTCTGTAGAACTTTTCCACATTGCTCCTCAGCTCTGCTTCCCTTTTTAGGAGGAAGAATGATGTCTTCTGAGGAGGAGCTAGGCCAGCCACAATTAGGAGGAAGGTCTGGGCCCAGATGAGAAAGGGCAGACAAGGGAAGCCCTGACTGAACGATAAATCATTGCCTGTGGGCTACTTTCAGAACGCTAAAGACGATTTCTGTGGATTTGGATCGAGCAGAATGTTGGTGGGAATTTCTCTTTCATGTTCCCTCTGTACCCTTCGACTTCTCCTCTGCAGAGCTGAGGGTGTGACAGGGGTACAGAGGGTTTCCTCTTCCTTTTCAGCCACATTCAGGTGCTGGGGACCCCAGGGCGAATACGGCAGGCACAGTCCCTCCTTCCCTAGAGCTGACAAGAGGATACACAGAAACTAAGGCAATTTCAGAAATATTGTCACAGTGCTGTGATGGGGAAGAGCTGGGTGTGATGGAAGCAGCCAGGACGGGGACCTAAGCTGAAGGGACTGCAGGGGAGGGGAAGGGCTTGGAAGGTGAATAGGGACTCCTGTACCTCTGATTGTCTGGGACAGCTCCGTCCTGACCACGCTCTGTGGTAATTGCTGCCACTCACTGAATGTTCCTGATAGAAGATGCAAACATGTGTGCCTCACAGCATCACTGAGCAGCTGCTAGGTTTGGGGAGCTGAGATTCTTTGGCGGAGTAAAAAGCAGGAAGGGAAAAAGTCTGTTTTAAGACCACCCAGCCCGAATTACGACTCTGGTTCATTAACTGCAGGGTCTAGGGTACTATTTCCTGCCACCCTGAGATCGCTTGCATTCCTGTTCCCAAGCCTTGGGTCAGTGGCATGTTCTACCGAGCACTGTCCATTTTTCTACAAGCTGGGACATGCGGGGATGGGCTCGTCCTCCATGTGGTAGATTGAAATTTCCAGTAGCACTTTCAATCTAGAAAAAAACGGAACACATAGCCCCAGTGATAAACAATAAATGCTTACCCACAACACTACTGTATTACTATTAGCACTTCCAATGCTAGTATTATTTACGTAGTAAGATAGGCAAGAAACTGAGGTGGATGAAGTAATACAAAAAGTTCTGGTATTTCTCCCCCACTCCGGCAGATGGATGCGCCCTACTTAGAGACCACTGCTTTAGAGAATGCTAGTGTGGGGGGGCGGGGAGTAGAGAACCAGGCGAGTGAATACGGGATGGGAGGGATGGGAGAGGAAGATGGCAACTGGCTTCTTTGACATTTTCCTCCCTGTCTTTAGAGCGTATAGTGTGTTTCAAAA